TATATAACTGATGTATATATATATATATATATATATAAAATTCATATATATATTTCACATATATGAAATATGAACTAATATGAGAAAGCACAAGGTGCCACCAAATGTATTCTTGAGAAAGCCACTCATATCTCAAAATAATGCTTATTCTTAATGAAGAATCATATAATTATTTTGATCTGCTATACAACTGTGGGGGATTAGGAATGTCTATTCCCATATATTGCTTTTAAGCTGGAATCTCTGTGTTGAGTTTGACCAGACAAAATGTACTATATTCTTATTTGGCCTGAAAGTTTATTAGATTTTCTTCAATTGACCATGAATAGACACATTAGCAAAGCTTCTTTCAGAGTTAAATCCTGCTTTCACAAATTGAAATGAAATAATTTCCTACATTTGAGAAAGGGCCCTTTTCAAATCTGAAAAAAAAATGTGGACCAAATGTAATGCTTTTTTTGAGAACAAGAAAAAAACCTTAAAGATGAAATACAAACTAAAAACCATGTTAAATACTCACCCTTTCTTTAGAGAGACTCAGTTTCTTCATATACTCCGTTAAAAGCAAAAGCTAACACATGAAAAGTTATACTGTTTTCTTTCAAAAAATATAATTCAGTAATAGCAGAGCTCTGCAAAACTTGAAAGCTCCATTCGTGTGGTAGGGGATGGAAGAAATTAACCAGGACATGATCCAGAAATGACACAGGGCATTTAAAGTAAAATTTGAGAACCAATTCACAAATTAGGAAACACTAATATAATTAACCAACAAAAATATACTGTGGTTCCAATGAAATGAGGTCAACATGAGATGATCCTTTTGGGAATGACATTCTAATTTGAATTACAATATGAGTGAAGTATTTTAGAAGACATTCTATCAAATAATGATAGACCCGCATAAAGAGGCTGTCTGTCACAGTTATAAGATCTGTCTCTGGTGGATAGACAAACCAGATTAACATAAAATTGAAAAGGAAAAAGCTTTTTTAATATTTAATTTATTATTATGGCTTTTTGCAACATGGCAAAACATTACAGCTTAAAGCAGACGTCATCTCCTCATAGAGGAGGAAAAAGTTTTGCAGTCAAATCAAAATTGTAATTAAGAGGTCACTGGTATACCATTTTATTCGGTGTAATAAAAATGATATACCTTCATGAACTCCAGAGATTACTTAAAAAAAGTAAAAACCTGTGATCTACTGACTGAATAATAAAGGATATGATAAGGAATTTAGGTCCGTCTATGCCTATGAAAATAAACATAAAAGACTGCAAAACAATTTTAGAACTTAGAATAATCACAGACCTACTGATAAAAATTCATCATGTGCCTGAATACCAGAAAAGGAATTATTAAGGTATGCAGTGAAGGGAATGGAGCAGAGTAAAATATAAAATGTCTTTTTATTTTTCATTGACTTCAACTTCCTTTTTATTCGTACAGAGTACAGGGAGAAGATGTGCCTCGGTATTGAAGATCCAGTGTTCCAGTGGAAGTAGATCATCATCAGAAAATATTAAGTACAAATATCTGGAGAGAGAAACATGAGTATATGAGGCCCAAGAGACCATCAGGCAGTGAGAGCATAAAGACAGCAACGTCTCCATTCATCTTATGGAGAATCACGGACAAGGGCCAAGTATTGCAAAACCCTGAGGCGATACAGTCACGAGCGTGGAATAAAGAAGCTGCTCTGTGCTCGGGTGTTGGTGTAGGAAAACCTACTAAGCAGTCCCCAGGCATCAGACTTATATAATGACTGGAAACACAGGTGCAAACATGTGCCACGCAGGGAGAGTGACCTTTGGAAGCAGGCACACTTGCTCTTATTTATTAGGTGTTCATGATAAAGTCATCTGCAAAGAAGATCTGACCAGGTACCTCAGCCCCATACTTTTGGGATACATTTTACTTACTTGAGTGTCTCTGCCAGGAAGAAACTCTGCTGCACGTCGTCGTAACTCTCGTGTCTGAGGTAAACATCCCTTAGGCCTGAATAGCCTCCGTTCACTCGGCAGTGATTTTCCAGGGCCTAAGTTACCGGAAGAGGGAAAAAATGGTCACATTTCAATAAATTGCTTGTCACCAATTTTTATTATGAAATTGCCAAATTGAAATAAAATAAGGATTCAAATTGAATGATACATGTGGAAGAGTTTCAGGCAAAAATTAAAAAATAACACAAAATGCAAATGCATATAAAGCATGAAAAGTTGGGGCGGCTCAGTTGGTTAAGCGTCTGCCTTCGGCTCAGGTCATGGTCTCAGGGTCCTGGGATCGAGGCCCGCATCGAGCTCTCTGCTCAGCGGGGAGTCTGCTTCTCCCTCTGTGCTCTCTCCCCCTCAAAGAAATAAATAAAATCTTTTAAAAAAATAAAGTATGAAAAGTTAAAGGGTATATAGACAATATATCTCATCTAATTAGAAACACTTCTACATTTAGTTATGAAATAATTTTTCAGTGTTTTTTTTTTGTTTTTTTTTTTACCATTTCCTCCTGTGGTCTAGAGCAGGGTTCGTCAAACTATGGGTCATAGGCTAAACCCAGTCTGCTATTGATTTTGTAAATAAAGTGTTACTGAACCACAGCCATGCTCATCTGTTTACATATTGTCTGTGGCTGTTTTTTCATTACAGTTGCAGAGTTGAGTACAGGCAAACCTCGGAGACATTGTGGGTTTGGTTCCAGACCACTACAATAAGTGAATATTGTGATAAAGTGAGTCAAGTGAATTTTTTGGTTTCTCAGTGCATAGAAAAGTTATGTATAGTGTCTAGTATAGTCTAGACTATACTAGAGTCTATTAAGTGTGTGGTAGCATTATGTCTGGAAAACAATGTACATACCTTAATTAAAAAATACCATTGCTACAAAATGCTAAGCATCATGAGTGTTCAGTGGGTTGTACTCCTTTTGCTGGTGGAGGGTCTTTCTCTGATGTTGATGGCTGCTGACTGATCAGGGGGGTGGCTGTCGAAAGTTGGGGTGGCCATGCCAATTTCTTAAAATAAGACAACAGTGAAGTCTGCCATATCAGTTGACAGTTTCTTTAACAAATGATTTCTCTGCAGCACACAATGCTGTTTGATAGCATTTTACCCATGGTAGCACCTCTTTCAAAATTGGAGTCAATCCTCTCAAACCTTGCAGCTGCTTTCTCAACTAAGTTTATGTAATATTCTAAATTCTTGGTGGTCATTTCAACAATCTTCACAGCATCTTTACCAGCAGTAGATTCCATCTCAAGAAACCATTCTTTGCTCATCCATAAGAAGCAACTCTCCATCTGTTCAAGTTTTATCATTGGATTTGGCAATTTAGTCACATCCTCAGGCTCCACTTCTAATTCTAGTTCTCTTGCTATTTCCACCACATCTGCAGTTACTTCCTCTACTGAAGTCTTGAACTCCTCAGAGTCGCCCGTGAGGGTAGATATCAACTTTTTTCAAAGCCCTGTTAATGTTGATACTTTGGCCTCCTCCATAAGTGATGAATATTCTTAATGGTATCTAGAATGGTGAATTCTTACCAGAAGGTTTTCACTGACTTTGCCCAGATCCATCAGAGGAATCACTGTCTAGGGCAGCTATAGCCTTATGAAATGTATTTCTTAAATGCTTAAAGTCAAAATGCTCCTTGAACCGTGGGCTGCAGAGTGGATGCTCTGTTAGCAGGCATGAAAAATCCATCTCATTGTCCATCTCCATCAGAGCTCTTGGGCGACCAGGTACACTGTCAATGAGCAGTCATATTTTGAAAGGAATCTTTTTTTGCTGAGCAGTACGTCTCAACAGTGGGCTTAAAATATTCAGGAAACCATACTGTAAACATGTGAGCTCTTATCCAGGCTTCGTTGTTCCATTTATAGAGCACAGGCAGAGTAGATTTAGCATCATTCTTAGAGCCCCCAAGATTTTTTGAAATGATAAGTGAGCACTGGCTTCAACTTCAAGTCACCAGCTGCATCAGTCCCTAACAAGTGAGTCAGCCTGTCCTTTGAAGCTTGGAAGCCAGGCATTGACTTCTCCTCTCCAGTTATCAAAGTCCTAGATGGCATCTTCCTCTAAAAGAGGGCATTTCATCTACACCAAAAATCTGTTGTGTAGTGCAGCCATTTCATTAACGATCTTCGCTAGATCTCCTGGAGAACTTGCTGTAGCTTCTACATCAGCACTTGCTGCTTCACCTTGCCCTTTGATGTTATGGAGATAGCTTCCTTCCTTAAACGTCAGGAACCAACATCTTTTGTTCTGCAGATTCCTCACCTCTCTCAGTCTTCACAAAATTGGAGAGAGTCAATTTTGCTCTGGATTACGCTGTGGCTTAAGGGAATGTTGTGGCTGGTTTGATCTTCTATCCGGACCACTAAACTTTCTCCCTATCAGCATACTACTTTCTTATCATTCCTGTGTTCACTGAGGTAGCACTTTTAATTTCCTTCAAGAACTTCTTTGCACTTACAATATGGCTGCTTGGCACAGGAGACCTAGCTCTTTGGCCTTTCTTGGCTTTTTTTTGGCTTTTGACATGCCTTCCTCACTAAACGTAATCATTTGTAGCTTTTGATTGAAATTGAGAGATGTGTGACTCTTCCTTTCACCTGAACACTTAGAGGCCACTGTGGGGCTAGTAACTGGCCTAATGCCAGGATTGTCATACCTCAGGAAATAGAACAGCCCGAGGAGAGAGAGAGAAATGAGGGAATGGCGAGTCAGTGGAGCCATCAGAACACACAACATTCATCAATAAAGTTCTCTGTCTTATTAGGGTGCTGTTCGTGGCACCCCAAAACAATTACAATAATAACATCAAAGATCACTGATCACATGTCACCCTAACAAATATAATAGCAATGAAAAAGTTTGAAATATTGTGAGAAGTATCAAAATGTGACAGAGATATGAAGCAAGCAAACGCTGTTGGAAAAATGGCGCCGACTAGCCTTGCTCGACATAGAGTTGTCACAAACCTTCAATCTGTAAAAAACACAGTGTCTGCACAGCACAGTAAAGCAGAGCACAGTAAAAGGAGGTCTGCCTGCAGTTGCCTATGGCCCCCAAGCCTACTTCCCTCTGGCTCTTCCAGAAGATGCTTGCTGACCCCTGATCTAGAGAGACTGTTAATGTCAACTGGGATTATAAACCCAATAACTGAGAAAGTGTAGTGGACCAAAACCAGCTGCTGCTACACCCAGAACATCTTATTTTGTAAACACTGATGGTGGAGTACTAATTAGTGATATTGGTCACAGATATCAAAGAAGAAAATGGAAAGCGGTGAAAAAAAAATGTGGCTGATATTTATTTCTAAAATATGTTTTTCCTTTCTTTAGTATGGGATGGAAGAAAATGGGATGAGTCAATTTCTTAACTGTCGGGAGAGAAATGATCCTACATTCCTGAAGTTTCTCTGACTATAATGAGTATTTGGAAAAGAGATGAGTTGGGCAGTGTGGGAATGAAAATTTAGGTAACAACCGAACAACTTGCAGGCTACATGAACAAAGAAAATACCTCATGATTTGGTACTTTTTAAAAGCCACTGGGAAAATAAGATCAACTTAAAAACTGCTTTGATTATATTCTCTGTTGTAGACAACAAACCAAGCCGGGGGAAAGCTTGCAGAAAGGAAATTTCAGGTCCTATTATTTTTTTTCCTTCCTTTTTTGATAGAAGTTCTTTTTGATTAAAAAGTCAAATACCAGATACACTGGAGTAGGCCAAAGATTATTTGTAAAAAAGTAAAAAAAAAAAAACAAACAAACCAGGATTTAGAAGAAATGGACAAATTTGTTGTTATGGAACATAATTAAATCCTACTTCCAGACATTTCCTAAAAAAGATTTTAACAACAAAACTTTTTCTTATTTTCTTCCCTTGAAGTTCTTTGGTGATAAGCTAATGAGAGGACAAGGCAGGCACGATAAACTGCCAACTCCTCTCTCCCACAGAAATTTCTATAAGCTCCTTCTTTCAATTATAGGGAAAGAGTTGTTCTGTGGTATGGACAATGCCCAACTGTTTTTCCTCTCTTCAGTTCACCCTCATTCTTCTTCTCACTCAGTCTTAATGTGGTGAGTCAGAGTTGTCCAGCACGCGTTCTAACATCTCAGAAGAAGGGGCTGAATCCTGGCCCTGGACTCCTTAACTGGGGCCTCCAACGTGCCTGGACCCAGGCAGTGTCCCTTGGTTCAACATGGGGTTGTTATGAGAATAAAACAAGATGAAGACACGCTTTGCAGAGTGACAGGGATCTTTCAGAGGTTTAGAGAGGCCTAGCTACTTTTATTTTTTGAGGCTTTTGGCAAATTAAAAAAAAAAAAAGGGGAAAAATGCCAGAGGCTTTTTTTTAACTTTTAAAAAATGAAAAGCCATCATGTCAAATATAAATTTTAAAACTTTAGGAATATGAAGCTGGGGATAAGCAGCCCTCCTGGGCACCCATCACAGGCCCTGGCTTTACGATATCTCAACAATGGAAGCAGTCATGTATTTATGCTGCATAGTCTGATGAGAACATCATTTTACTGCAATCTGTTCTTGGGACTCTCAGACTCTAGGCATAGGACCACCTCGATTTTACGTAAATGCTTACATTATTAGTGACCATATGTGGCTGGGATGCGCTAAGAGCAGAGAAAAGAAAAACAGGAAAATGTTTACAGTTACTGGAACTCTAAACAAACCCAGACCCCAAGGGACTGTACCTCTTTACGGGGGAGAAAGGTAAGAGAATAGCGAGCAGCATGAGTTAAATCGTTAAGTCAGAAAGGGAGAGAAAAGAATTCTCTTATCTTTAGGTTAAAAGTGTTAGAATAATGGCTGATCCATGGAGATTTCCAAGAGTGGACTCTAGGGAACAATGCTCATAATTAGGCTGAATGGTTGAGTTTGGTCTGAGTTCATAGGTAGAACCTAGCAAAACAGACATATCAAAGAGTCTGGAAACAGGGATCAAGCCTGGGGAGGGAGAAGCAGGAACTGGGAAGACAAATCACTTTCTGAGAGCCAGAATGTCCATATGGCAAAGGTCAGATTTAGGAGACTAGAAAAAATTGTCTGTGTGGAAAAAAAAGGACAAAAAATCCCTATATAAGGCTTATCTGCTACTGTGGACCAGGGGAGACATCATATAATCCATACATACCTTTATAGACATTGTATAATCTATAACTACCAAGACATATATGAATACATAGGTATAATTTAGAGTAGAGCTTTATCAGAATATTATCCGTAATAGGGAGGAGTTTAATGAAGTTTTCATGACATTATTGAGAAAAACAAAAGAACTATGAGGTAAATGTTACTTTTGCTACATAGATTCACAAGTGTGTAAACATCTGTGATTAATGGATTGTTGGTAACCTGCGGAGAAGTTTCTAGTACCCTATGCTGGATTATATAATTTCATGTCTTGTTTGACATTATTATTGTGTTCAGCGTTACTATTCAGAAATTCAGCTAAGACACGGAAAGCAGGTTTATCGTATGAGTGCAAGAAGTCTGGAAAGGGAGTGCTTCGTTAGAAGATGGGAAGATGGCTGACAAATACTTTACAAATAGCAAATGTGGTTGAACACAAGGGTGAACAAAAGAGATGTCTCGACAGGAACTAATACAGTAGCTAATATCATTTGACCACAACTTCGATGTAAGCCAGGGGTTTTACAATCCACCAAAAAACCAAGTTGGACCATCAGCTGTGGGAAATAACACTCAGAAGAGAGGTTATTGGGTCACACTGCTCAGCCCTGAGAGACCACACACGCCATGAGGAGGTGGAGGGAAATGGTGGATGAGGATGGACCAGTGGGCAGAACGTGCTGTCTTCAGATAACTGAGGAGCTGAAGTGTAGAAGACAGAAGGGATTTTCCCCCCATACCTCCAGAGCACAAAACACTGTAAATTCTGGTTTCAAAAGGAGTAAGTTTCTAACACTTTCAGCCATTAAAAAATGGAATTACTTTATTAGTAGTATATTCTTTTTTTAAAACTACAAAGTCCTTGAATTGATGAGGAATAGCCATCTGGCAAAGATGACAAGGAGGTCTTTTCTTTGAGGGGAAGGCTAGTCTATGTGTTTTAGTTTGGGTTCCCCTAAAAATGGAGCATGAGGACAAGGGCCAGATGCAACAAGTTTTTTTTTTTTTTTTTTAAAGATTTTATTTATTTATTTGACAGAGAGAGACACAGCCAGAGAGGGAACACAAGCAGGGGGAGTGGGAGAGGGAGAAGCAGGCTTCCCACAGAGCAGGGAGCCCGATGCGGGGCTCGATCCCAGGACCCTGGGATCATGACCTGAGCCGAAGGCAGACGCCCAACGACTGAGCCACCCAGGCGCCCCATGCAACAAGTTTTTAAGGGAGGTGACATCAGGAAGGGAATGAGCAGGGCAAGTGAACTGGGGGAGGGAGAAGAGCTCGTGAAATGTGCTGAGCAGGTGACAGCTGTGGGCCGTGAAGGCTCCCTCCCACTGGAAACCCTCTGAGGAATCATGCAGAATGCATCTCAGAGTTATTCTGCAAAGGGGGAAGACTGGGCTAGCTGTTCATCAACTCTGAGACCTCACTGGTTCAGGACTGCCCCTGCGGACTTTACCTCTCCCACCTCCGGGACCACAGCCAGCTACCTGGGAAGCAGCTCAGAGCCGGGGCAGCTGGGAAGTGGGGGGGGTGGGGAGGTGCAGGGATGTGGTCCCTGCAGCTGTAGCTGAAACAAAGGAGGGCTGAGGGGATGTCACGCAAGGGAAAAGAGTGCCACCACACTATCTCTGTTGATGATTCTGTGCTTTAAAGAAGGCAAGCATCCCAGCACTCCCCCCTCCCCCCTCTACCTCAAGTTCTAGCAGAAGCACTAGTGGCAAAAAGCGAGGGCAGGGGGCGGGGGGTTGGTTCGGAGGGTTCAGACTGTGCACAGGGAGACAATCTTACATCATATGCTACAGTAGAAGTTAACAACAGACAAAAATCCTAACCCTTAAAACCAAGTTATTACCCCACAAACATGCTCCCCTGAAGAACCAAGCGAACCAAAGCTTCCCATTCACACAGCTTATTTCCATTTTTGTATCAGTTCTCTCTCAGACATTTTTCACATTTTAACAACTCTAAAATTGGCATGTCCTAACTTAATTGGTGGTGTGGTACTTTCTCAGTGGTGCACAAAATAATGGTGTTTCTTATCAATTAGGGTGTTTTACATTTGATGAAATACGTTATTCCTGATATTTTCAATTTAAACTGATATTTGCAAGGTGACTATTAGCCTTAAATTCTTTTGCTGGCCTAGTGAAAACCAAAATAATTTCCTATCACCAAAGCTTAGATGAACCTCAATTTCTATACATTTTTTTCAGAGGAAAAAACATAAATTTAAAGAAATTGGAATTACCACCGACTAAACATGATTAGAAAACTTTGCAAGAAGTAAAAGACAAAAAGAGGCCTAAAGAATCGTTATTACTTAAAATGACTAATGACTAGGGATAAGGCACACACTACACGAAGAGGGTAATAAGCAAGATTCATCAACGGCTTCCTAAGATATTGGTTATAACTTACACAAAGGCAATATATTCATTTTAGATTTCCTGAGAGAAGTTATTTCTAACAGTCAGGTTTTAAAGACAGCTAACTTTGTAACAGCGAATGTAATTAAAGTGTTGGCTTGTTCTTATCTCGTTGATGCTCCACCACAACTCCTTCCAGAATAATAGCTCTTAAAATTAACATTATTTGATGCAGAATCTGGAGAGAGTAGCTGCTAGTACCAGCACACAGTGTTCACTAGATTAGTTTGGGAAGATGACATGCCATGTTCTGTAGGAAGAGACCCAAGGGGTGATGAAGACAATTCAAACAGCGCATGGGATAGATGGAAAGCTCATAGATATTCAGAGAAACCTGAGGTCGGTGAACGAATATTGTTGCACAAAGTAGTTCTTCTGTAAGTCCTTTCTAAAAGTTAGATCTAAGTAGCTAATTTACTCTGTGGAAGAATTTCAAGCTAAAATGGAACTGGAACCGGAAGACAGAAAACAGAAAATCTTACGCATGTACCCTTAGGAAAACAAAACTTAAGGACCGTGAGACTGATTTCCTGTACGTGCCAGATTTACAGAAAACTGATAATACTGGGATGATAGGGAGTTGGCCAGAGGTTGCCTTATATCAACCCCTTGGGAAGTTTTACTTATGGAATGAACAAGAACTGACCCAGGTCAGGCTGGTCTCACAAAATAGCTCAGTTGTGCTTTATTTGTATGACTCGACTGGTTTTGTCCAGTCAGGGAATTCTCAAAGCTGGTGCCTATTTGTTTTTTATTTTAACAGACTCTATCTGAATTCTCTCTTCTTTACATACAGCCCACCTTGAAACTTCAAATGACTCACTTGTGTTTGCTGAATTGCAATTCCTCTGCTGTCCCTGAATAAACTCTTTTTTATGGACAATTTTGAGTTTGTCTCGTTTACCTTTTTATTTAGGTTGAAACTAAGTAGAAGCACGTATTTTCATTTCAATGCCCAAAGACTCATAAAAACCAACCAACCAACCAATGTAGCGGCTTCTCAAAACAGACAACAGGCAGAGGTCATTATCCCCAAATTGTCAGTAACTGTGGAATTAAGTGACCATTATTTCTATGGCTGTGGGAACTTAGTTTTATAATATGCCTTTCTAGAGATCTCTTTTAGTCTCAAAGTAGGTCTATTACTAGCACCATATTACATAAAGCAAAGCTGAAGCCAGGGATATAGGATGACAACTGAAAACACTCATTCTTGAATTGGGAAAAATTCTAATTAAACCTTTAAAAATCAGGGGGCCCAGGTAGCTCAGTCGGATGAGCGGCTGACTCTTGATTTTGGCTCAGGTCGCGAGATGGAGCCCCCACTGGGCTCTGTGATGGGCATGGAGCCTGCTGAGGATTCTCTCTTTCCCCCTCTCCCTCTGTACCCACACCTCAAAGCTTTAAAAATCCTAGAAAAGTTGATAAGCTAGATTTAAAGAAATCACTGAGCATTTTTCCCTGAGACATTTACGTATAAGAAATATAAGCGAATTAAAACGTCACCTCTACGGCTTCCCAGGCCCATTTCCTGTACTTTGGATCATGAGTCAGTCGCCACATGTACATGTAAGTCTCAACAACCTCTGGCCGTAGGATGTAGTACTTTTCATTCTGCCTGGTGGCAATGGCTTCAACACCACCATCGAACCTGAAAGCTTCCGGTCCCAGCTTCATATCTAAAGGGCATGCAAGGGTGAGAAGCGTTATTGTCTGGATGCTGCTCAGTTCTATAACTCCAATGAAATGAGAAAGTACTTTACAACATTCAAGAGAGATGTCAAAGCAATTGACATCCTATAATAAACAATATTCGATACACTTTTAAAATACAGTCATCTGAGAGTCCTTTTTAAAGCACCGCAATGATCCGCTATTTTCTTTCATTTAACCAGCACTTGCTGAGTGCCCCCCAGGTAGGTACAAGGCACTACAGCACCCCTTATTAGTCAGCTGGAAAACCAGTGGTTGAGAATTCTATGTCATTATGTCATGAGAGGTTACTTAATCTTTGGGCTTCAAACTCCTGTTTTATGAGAAGGGAGCCAGACTCTTATTTCACAGAGATACTGAAAAGGTTAATAATGGCATAAAAAACTAAGTTTCTTTTGCACCTGGGACAGAGATTCTTAACCAATGTTATTTACCTAAAGCAGGGTCAATTAATCAGCCTGGCTTAACCCTGTATGGCTTCAATTCTTATTCCTTGGGAAAACTAAGGGTAGATACTTTTATGTAGAAAAGCAGTGCTTCTTAAGGTAAAAAATATAAATTCCTTTAAAATATTCATCATGAGCTTCCAGTTTCATGAGGCACACTGGATATTCTTTTGGTGGCAGCAGTGACAATGGTCCTTACTGAACAAAATAAAAGCCTGTGGGAATAGATTGAAAATGAAGAATCACAGGTACTCACAGGTGCGATTGTAAGATTCATAACAGGTTCGGGCAATTTCAGCCCCGAGCTGAAGGTAGTGCTGGGTCAGGCCCGTGGGAGCGTCGTCGGCCCCAAGTGCAAACATGCCTCCAGCAAAGCAGGTCAGGTGACCCATCTTGTGTTCCAGGAGGCCCCCTTTCCACTCCGCGATGTAAGTCAGCCCCGTACTAGACTTGCGGATCAAGTGAGCCTCAATTGCCTGCAAATCAGACTTATTTTCAACATTTTTAAATCCCTTCCAAATTTATACTAAAAACATTCTCCACGCTAAGAGAGAAAAAGAATAAAACATCACTCGCAGTTTTGAATTTGGTGCCCTCAATCTGATTCCACCTGAAATTTTGTTAATGCTTTCTGTATTCCTCCTCTAGTCTCTGCCTTATTAGTTTGGTTAGTTAGGATTATCGCTGCTGGGCCAGCCCAGTTGGTTTTGCCTGGTTCCACGACCAAACATTTGTAGTCCTCACACCTCAAAAGCTGTCCCCTTCTCAAAGAGAGGCCACAGGTGTAGAGGTTAATGGTTAATGCATTTCCATTTTCACAATGGAGAAATGACACAAAGTACAAGCCCACTATGGATGAAGAATAGAGTGTATTTGTGTATAAAGTCCAGGCGGGGAGTGTTACCCTGCCTTTGGCTCTCTTAGGCTCAGAGGGCGGTAAACTGAGGGGGAAAGGTGTGCCGTTCTTGAGTCAGATTGCTTGGCCTCAAATTCCAACTCTGACACTGTCTGTGAACTTGGTGGGTAATTTGCTTGCTGGAAATCTCAGTATCCTTAACCATAAAAAGGGAATAGTAGTATCTTCTGAGAAAACTCTGCAACATTTAGTGTATGAAGCCGTCAATGCTGTGACTAGCACTTGATAAGTTTTATTTATCATCATCACTCACATCTCCACTGTGGTAACACTTGAATTAAATTCCTCCCTAATAATTCTATTAAAAAGCACATTAGTATATAACAAAAAAAGACATATAAAAAGATGCTCATCATCACTTATCATCTAGGGAATGCACAAACAAAACTACAATGAGTTATCACCTCACACCTGTCAGAATGGCTAAAATCAACAACACAAAGAACAGGTTTTGGTGAGGATGTAGAGAAAAAGGAACCCTCTTGCAGTATTGGTGGGAATGCAAACTGGTGCAGCCACTGTGGAAAACAGTATGGAAGTTTCTCAAAAAGTTAAAAGTAGAACTACCCTGTGATCCAGCAATCACACTACTGGGTATTTACCTGAAGAATACAAGACCACAACCTGCCTCCCAGCTCCACTGCTTGGGCACTCTACAGGCTCAGCACCCCCATTCGCTCTGTGACTCCTCTGGTTCCGAGACCACAAACTGAGGGTTACAGATGGGTGGGGGGTGGGACGATGGGATAGCTGGCTGATGGGTATTAAGAAGGGCACGTGATGTGATGAGCACTGTTATATGCAACTAATGAATCATTGAACACTACATCAAAAATTAATGATGTACTATATGTTGGCTAACTGAAGATAAAAAAAAAGATTATAAAACCATTAATTCAAAGGGATACAGGCATCCCTATGTTTATAGCAGCACTATTTACAATAGCCAAGACATGGAAGCAGCCCAAGTGCCCACTGATTGATGAATAAAGAAGATGTGGCAATAATGGAATCATTCAGCCACAAAAAAGAATGAAATCTTGCCATCACAACGATGGATGAAGCTAGAGAGTATAATACTAAGTGAAATACGTCAGTTGGAGAAAGACAAATACCATATGATTTCACTCATATGTGAAATTTAAGAAACAAAACAAGTACAGGGAAAAAAAATGAGAGAAACAAATCAAGAAACAAGCTCTTAATTATAGAGAACAAGCTGATGGTTACCAGAGGGGAGGGAGGATGGGTGAAATAGGTGATGGGGATTAAGGAGTGCACATGTGATGAGCATAGGGTGATGTATGGAAGTGTTGAATCACTCTATTGTACACCTGAGCCTAATATAATGCCGTATGTTAACTAACTGGAGTTAAAATAAAAACTTAAAAAAAAGAATAAAGGTCTGTAAACTGGGGAGAAATGATGTTTACAAGAATGATTTGCAAAATACCTTTTATTTTTGCCCTAGGACTGTTGATATTCTTTTATAATAGATAGAAAACATAAAATAAGCCTTACATTTTAAAAAGCAAAAATGAGGTATAACGGTTTGTAATTGCTAACTGTAGCTGCTGCTGTAACAGGAAATGTGTTTTTCCCCCTCCCAACTACTCCACAGAAGACAAAGAGCTCTGACTACGTCCATACCTGTTATGCCATTATAAAAAAAAGAGCTTTTTAGGAAGTACCTTTGGGAATAGTAGACACAGACAAAACTTGTGATAGAGAAGAATGAATGAAAATGAATACACAGACAGATAACACCTTTCCTACCTTTATTGAAAATAAACAACTGAAACACCAAGATGGTAAGAAATAAAGGAACACACTACTGTGCTCATTAACTGCGGTTAGCTAATTTTATAGATGGTCTAGTTATTATATTAATATTTCATTCTTATTTAACTGAACATCTTAACTATTTACATTTCTCATAGCACAAACTGCAATAAAGTTCTTCAAGCAGACACTTGTTCATCACCCAAGAAATTATTCTTTTTATATGGCAAAAGTTATAGCTTTTGAGCATGGACTAGAGAAATACTATTATCCTGTTATGGATCCTGAATAAAGTACTATATTATTTTTGGCATGATTCTGACCAAGATGCTACCCCTCAAACTACAATGAAGTTCTAAGACCTTCAAAGCGATGTTTGTGTGACTGTGGGAAAGTGTAAATAAATATAAAGGAGGAAAAAATAGTCTTTAGTGGTTCTAAAAATATGTGTTAAATCTGCAGGGAATTGATTAGGAAGAAAGAATATCATGTATTTTGTGATTTCAGTCCTCCATATTTGAAAAAAAGATGAGTTTGATGAAACCTTTAGAAACCTAAATGTCTAATACATCATGTGCCCAGGTACCATTCACTCCAGTGGACCCTTGGTACAATGAACATCTACCACAGTGGATTCTTAGTGTGGTCTCCAGAGAAGAACATAACAGCCAGTTGAAAGCCCAAAGTATTTTGTAATTAAAACAATCAAAGAAAACAGACCATGCTGGGATTAAATGCTTTCCAAAATCTACTTGAAGCTAAAACTGAAGAACTGTATCTCCAGGAACTCAACTGTCCAGGATGATAATTATGGGATCTTCTCTTTAATGTTTTTTTTAGAGTACAGCTTAGCAGAAAGAAACTTTGTTATATAAGACATGGTTACTTCTCCAATCAGAAAGTTAAGTGTTCTAGCTTTCCTTTCTAAGTTGAAAACACAGTGGATTGAAAATGTTTTTACTACTAAGAGAAATCGGTGTTCTTAATGGATTTTCCTGTCAATGGTTTGTCTAAATACAATATATTAAAAGCTGTGTGGGTATAGTTCTAGGAACTGGGGGAAAATATTTCAAAGAACATTTTAAAATTGCCTTTCCTAGAACATCAAGATCTTAGGGGGCCACTTTAAGATTAGAATAATTAAAATATCTGCTAGGATAGTATGAAAAAACGACATAACACAAACCATATTGTTTGCAGAATTCCCTAGCTTAAAACTTGAAACCTCATAGGAATGAAGAAAAACAAACCTGGCAGAGGCCATGTGGGCTATATCCTAGTTTGCTTTTTATGTTCATCATGTGCCTTAATTAAGGCTGTGCTAAATGAAAGCCAGTGTACTAACTAAGACGTTCTGGTTCCTATTTGTGAAACAGTAAAGAGTCTTATCTGCTGTACTTAGTGATGCTTCTTATTGACTGTGGGAGGGAACCACAGTAATAGTCAATCTGGCCCAACCAGAGCAAAGCAAGCTGCATTTATATTTAAATGAATAAATTGGATTATTATGTCTAAATTACCCAGACCTCCTCTCGGGGAGACTAACTTTAAAACAGTAGCTACATTACTGAGGAGTTACAAATTTCCATCCTCCCCACCTAAGAATTAATACTCTCAATTATAAAAAAAATTCTAAGTCAATAAAAAAGACATTTTTCTGATTTAGCCATACTTTTATAACATTATCTGAGATGCCTTGATAATATTAAAAAAATATGAGTTACCATACAAAATACTTATCAATCACAAAGGCACTTGGCTCTGCTAAAAAATTTGTTTCTGAAAAGCTGGGTGTGAGTTCAAGTATTTTATATGAAATAATATCCTTCTTTTGCTTTATTTACTTTCCAATTTTATTTTCATTTTTGATTGAGGCTTACATTTTCTTGAGGCTTAGTTTACTCTTACACTGGCCACCTCCTATATATTTTGCTAAACAATTTCTAACTTATTTTTATGAACTTACTGCATGTAAAGAACACTTAAATGTAGTATGGAAATTCTTATTCACAAATAAATCCATAGTGGTGAGGTAAAAAGAGACAAGTGTTGACACAAATTTTAGTTTGAATTTTGGTTCCACACTCCTACTCCTTGAAGAAAAATATTTCTTTTTTGGATATGTGAATCTTTACTGAGGTGGGACTACTATTGTTATAATTAATATTAGCAGACACTGAACTCAGCCTAACTGGAAATATTTTGTAACCCACTTGTATAGTATTCCATTTCCCATTAAAGGCTGATTAATATGCAAATTATGTTACCTTAGTGGTAAAGGCGATTAAATATTGGTTTACCTGAACAGCATCAAAATACATCTTCTTAGCTTCTAGATCTGTCTTGTCAGACATTAACCACGCCTTTAGCAAATATTCATAAAAGCTGTCTCCGAGTCCTCCAACTGATACATGATCTGCAAAGAGAGGAAAATGAATTTCAGAGTGATTCAGGCTTTAATTCAGATAATGCGGCAAAATCACATTAGTAACTAGGATGCAAAACCCTACGTCAACTGCAACTCAATGTTACATTTAAATTCCGACAAATCTCTTGTTTTCAGGAAGATATTCTGAAAAGAGCAGATGTGCTGTTAACTAATGTGATATACTCTAAATAATTACCAGGGTAGTTTTGTAAACACGGAGATAAAAAATATATAATCAACCCTAATTCCAAAAATCAGTTTCTCTAGTTAAAACCACCAAATTAGGGGCGCCTGGGTGGCTCAGTCGTTAAGCGTCTGCCTTCGGCTCAGGTCATGATCCCGGGATCCTGGGATCGAGCCCCGCATCGGGCTCCCTGCTC